CATTTTCATGCAGCAGGCCTTTGCTGTCACCGCAGGAGTGGGTCGAGCACATAAATGCAACGAAAAAGAGATGCAGCCAGCTGGAGTCTCCTCTACAGGGATTGGCCAACTACGGCAACCCACCCCGGCCAAGGTGTGCACAGTTGTGGAGCAGTTGCTCATGTTTCAACCAATCCACTGCCTGGATCCCTAGTATTGGGTCGGATTGAAGGCTGTGGTCGCCGTTCCAGGTTTAGGCGGCAGGAAATCAAACTCCAACCGTTCCGTTTTCAGTCAAGACGGACCCCATCGGCAAGGAAAAATCCCACCGGTGCACCATCCACTTTGTGCCGCCGGGAGCTGAAGTGTGTAAGACTTCCGATCTCTTTTTCCCTCTGGAGACTTTACCTTCAACCAATAATAGATTTAGATCTCACTTATCTTACATTCCCTGACTCAGGGGAGGTGGGATGGTGATTGGAGGGGAGAGCAGACCAATCGCCCGTAGACGGATGATCACCGTGGCTGTTGCACCAATGCGCTGCCGGAGAAAATGGGAAAAAAAGGCCCTCGCTAAGTCAGTACTCTAAATAAAAATCCAACAATTCCATCGGGCGCGGGCACCACCGGTGGATCGGTAAATAGGCGCTGCATTGGTACCCGGCCACTTGCCACTACGTACACTCACTGCTCTTACTGTATGGGGATGCGGTTGATTTATCCGCAGTACTGCCGGCCGGTCATGCTCCGTCTCGCTTGCATCGCATGTTTTGTGAGCAATTACAAATACTCGGATCGAGTGAGATACTACACATAGAAGAGAGTCATGGCCACCGCGAATTTTCACAATTTTATGAACATTTGGGCATAAGTGACTAGACCCAGAAGGTCTTCAAATTTTCTGTGGTTTAAACCACACTGAGTACGGAGTACACAGTAGAGTAATGAACAATTGAATATTACTTCTTGGTCATCAAAACCAGTTTTCGCGCACAGGCGCGTTGCTCAATCAAACAGTTAAAAGTCACCTGCAAGAGAATCCATAGAAGGCAGGCGTCTGGAAGATCGTTACGCCTTACCCGTGTGACACATGGTAACACTAACAACTACTAATTAACTCAACTATATGCATGTACTTTCCTGGAGGGACAGCCTGTCATCGTCCCCTTCTGCCCGGATCTGCATAAGCTCTCACCTAAATAGAAACTCAAATAGCGACTACGAAGATCAGAGCCTCTTTGACTGATGGCATCAACCGGTTTGTCGGACATGGTTACACCGTGACTAAGAATGAAGTCACTGACTCCTGCAACGCGATGGATTCAGCAACAAGGAATGTCCATGCCGGTCTGCAGCTATCCGATGGTCCCTGATGAAATTGTCCAGTATGTGGTATGCCCTTCGGTCGCTTCATTATACCCATATTCCGTATACATTCCCTGGTGGTGTCACAGGCAAGGGATCGTATGTATCCAGGGCTGGGGCCAGACCAATCCTGCGGTGACAAAGGTCCCCCGAAACTCCCCCAAGTCTGATACCAAGGGATTGTAGCCACATTCAGGCGGTTCCATGGTGGTAATTACTTGGCTTCATCAGCAGTGCCAGGGGGTTCCATTGTTGCGCAAGGATGAAAGGGCGTCAACAGGAGTTTCCAACCCTCGGAAAGGAAGGCGGACGATAAAGCTGCGGGATAAGCTTTGGTGCTAACGAGAGTCTGCAGGGATGCTATCTCACAAACTTAAGCATAACAGAGGATCACACGTGCCCGCGTGCCGGTGCAGAAGACAAGGTTTTCTTCTGAGGAAGAACCTCGGCAGAATTACAGGCTCCTCTGCAGCTCAGTCACTAACCGACCATATCTTGCCCTGAATGTGTCCCTGGGCCTCCTTTGAATGCAGCCCTGGGCCTTTTTAAGAAGATTTATCTCCCGCATGTCTTTTCCGAGGATGGGTAGATCGTGGATTCAGGGACGACCCAACGATGAGCCCGACCCGGGAGCCCCACGATCAGCCATGGAAAACCATCTCAAGGGTCTGCCAACTCGCGAGGGAAAACTCGGCAGAGGAAGTGTACTTCGCTGAGTGACCTGGCCTGGAAACAGGATTGAAGCTGGGTTGTGAACATCTGGAATGCGGGGGTAGTAACCTTTGATTGAAGAATGTGAGAGCCCGGGGCCGGCCTAGAACGAGCCGAGGACGGCGACAAACTGACAAGAAACGTCGAGGATGATCTACGATCTGAAAGATTCGATCTGCCGGGCCCGTCTCAGGGCTGAATAATGAAATTCATGACCCAGGGGTAAGTTCTAGGTCCGGGGCCGCGATTGGTCGCCGCCTGGCTGGGCAGCTGCTTTTACATCCCGAACTATGGACGAGAACGAATAGCCATACTTGCTACCAGTTCCTCCATCACTCTTGTGCTAGATTCCAAGCCTATCAGAACGACAAATATTGTGACCCACTGTTTCCAGCAAAAGTATGTACCTGAATCAAATTGTGCCGCAGGCGATGATGATGGGGACGGGGTACTTGAATGCCGTATGCCCTGGAGGCTCAGCGTGCTGCCACGGGTGAGCGGCGACATTATTGTGTAACACATACACCATCTCTTTCTGCCTCTCTTCCTGCAGACCATGAGGTGCTTTGGGGTTTCATATCTCCAATGGGTCTGGGGATGCGCTCTTCTGCAAATTGTCGTGTCTGCCTCCTTTGCTCCCATCCTGCCTCCGGCTTACCCCCTTGCTGTTCGCAGCCCCTATCTGTCTTGTTAGTCTACCTCTACTCTGGACTACAGTCCTGATTTGCATTGCCTACATTGTGTAGAATCAATTGTATACTGACGTATACAGCTTGGCTTCCCGGAAATCAGGCCTCTAGTCTTCCCTCTAGCTCTCCTCAATTTTGGTTTGGAAATAACCTCACATGGTCTGTCATTGCTCGCGTAGATGGACAGGCATACAGTCTTTTCGGAGTCTCCAAGAAGTTGGAAGGCATCGAGGCTGCTACTGTCAGAGATGGCAATTTCACCTCGACGCACAGCACTTTTCTGCTGACAGCCGGGTCGAAGAATTTCACCCTCGACTTCTTTTCGCCTGTCTCCCCGACAAACTATCTACGCCAGTCACTGCCCTTTTCGTATCTCACGATATCAGTTAATGGGGTATCGAGCAATGACTCCGTTCAGATCTATTCAGACATCGATTCGTCCTGGACTGGTCAACCGAAGAACGCGACTTGGGCTTTCTCAGAAACTAACAGTACCTCAGTGTTTCAGCTGAGTCCCGTGGAAGAGGCCTTGTTTTCGCAAAATGCTCAAGAACAAGCGCTGTGGGGCGAGACGGTTTACGCCACGCGGGCTACAAATGGAAGCGTCCTGTCTTCTGCTTCGGGGCCGTTATCTGCTATGCGTTCTCAGTTTGTGGCCAATGGATCTCTGAGCAACTCATACGCAAATTGGACATCTGATGGTGTTGTAGCATTTGCGCATGAGCTGGGATCTAGTGCAAAGAATAGTTCAATTACTTTCGCGATAGGCCATGTGCGCGAGCAGACCATTGATTACCTCGGTAGTACGCAAACTGGATACTACCGAGCAGATTATCCAAATACTGCGTCCGCCGTCTCACATTTCCTTGATGATTACTTGGATGCACTGAATGAGTCGATCACTATGGACAAATTCATCCAGAAAAGTGGAGAGTCATCATATGGCACCAACTACTCCGATATACTTGCACTGTCTCTTCGCCAAATCTACGGTGGCATGGAACTCACAATCCCGAATGATACATTAGACACCAACGACACCATGGCCTTCATCAAAGAGATCTCCAGTGATGGCAACATCAACACCGTCGATGTCATCTACGCATCATTCCCGGTCTTCTACGTCCTCAACTCCGACCACATCCGACTCCTCCTGAAACCCGTTTTCGAGTACATGGCCAAAACCAACTACACCTACGACTTTGCCGTACACGACATCGGGATGGACTACCCAAACGCCACCGGCCACAGCCCCAAAGGCGAGTTCATGCCCGTCGAAGAAAGCGGGAACATCCTCATCATGACCTACGCCTACGAAAGCGCAACCAACAGGACCAACATCACAAGCACATACTCTCCCCTTCTTCAAAAATACGCACAATACCTCAACACCTACGGCAAATATCCCGACGCACAACTCTCCCTCAACGACGCCCTAGGCAAGATCGCCAACCAAACCAACCTCGCCATGAAAGCAGCCAGCGGCCTAGCCTCCTACGGCCACCTGACCTCACAGCAAAACTACACCGACGCAGGCAAATCCATCGCCGACGCCCTCTATAACGGCCGGCTAGGCACAGACCCCAACGGCACCTATTTCACGATTCAGTACGGAAGCGACTCCTGGTTCCTCGCTTACAACCACTACGCGGACGTCCTATTCTCCCTGGACCTCTTCCCGGACGAAGCCTACAATGCCACCACCGCCTTCTACCCTACCGTCCGCAAACCAGCGGGCGTAGCCCTCGACGCTAACCTCGACTGGGGCCAAACCAACTGGCAGGGGTTCGTAGCGGTAACAGTCACCGACGAAGCAAGAGACATGTTCATCTCCGATATCCATGCCTACATCGCTAATGGACTCAACGATGTACCCTTCTCGGACCGGTACTGGGTAAACGATAGCACTACTGGTGAGGCTGGTGAGTACTTTGCTTTCCGTGCAAGGCCGGCGCTGGGGAGTCACTTTGCGTTGATGGCCCTGCAGGGGGCGGATCAGTGGGGTGGGTTGATTGCTTGATGGGGTTGGCATATATATTGCATTCTGCGTGCATTTGTAAATAGTTTTAATTGAGTTTTAGATTTGCAGTGATAGAGAGAATAGATCCATGCATCATTCCTAACTTGCTCAGTTGTGATGAGTAAATGTAAAATTATCTGCATCTCCTGCGACTTATATTAATGATGGGATGTACTTAGATCGGGATAGTGTTACACATAACACCCACAATCAGAGGCAGAAATGGTAGTAGACCAGTAGGCACAACGCAACGTACTCTCTTATTATTTACTTTTCCAGATACCGGATATATATATCACAGCAGAATATCGAATTAACATTCAATGAAAACGCAATACCAACTAGTACAACGTGGGTTTAGTATTTATCCTTTTTAAATGACATAGAAAGCCAACAACTACTAGGTTGGCTGGCAATAATATCATTATCAAAAAGGCTTTGGAATTAGCTGCATAAAAGTTTTGTATCATGTATGAAACATCTGTATTGATAATATTTCTGTTCAATTTTACTACTTAAGGTATTCAAATTGTAGTTGGGATTAAGCAGTCCGTGGTTACTTATATATATATTTACTGATTGTCTACGATAATCTCCTACCATCATACTGCTAGTTACTATTACTAACTCTCGGGCTACACTAGTATGGAGTCAATATTAGTGAGATCTTCTGCAAATTAACTCAAGATCTTATACTTGTGTCCATTTCTTGAAATGCTATATATATATTTGGAGCAATTGAGATAAGTAGTATTATCGTAGAGATACAAAAGGTATGACTTGTTTTAGTATTAATAGTATTACTACATCATTAGAAATACTAGTAGGAATCGAGTAAGAACCTAAGGGTGCCGAGAGACGAAAAACACCTGATAGTAAAAGTGTATAATGAATCCCCCTCCTCCTCCTCAATTCTCTTAGGTTACGACTAGTAGTCACATCAAAGTCAATCACCACCAAGGCCAAGATATACTCTGCATGGTATTAATTCAGGTAAATTCTTTTTAACATCGTATTAGTGTGTTAACCTTTTTTACACGCTATACGCACAATGTGTGATTTCTGTATTCTAATGTGATTTATTGTGTAGAGATGATTATTACTAGAGGGGCTGAATATGAGTGTGATTTTGATTGAAGTATACTATCGTCGTAAGGTTGGGTGCGAGACTAGATAGGTGATGGGATGCAAATGAGTGAGGTTTGATAGGGTCTAGATAGCGCGTTCGGTCGCCATTGGATTCACCGTAATGAGTAAAGGTTTCCGAGGTGGTAATGGTAGCAAAGCAAGTAATTAAAGGATGGATGAATGTCCGGTCAGGTCACGGTTAGCAAAGGGCATGGGTAGTTGTGGAATCGAAGACAATTGGTCCAGAAATGGCAGCAAGCTCGTTATGTAGGATCTGTGTCTTAGATAAGTTGAAGCTTGAGCTTACACGTGTATCTTGAACAGATGGGATATGCTACATAGTTAGAGAGACGCCTGCGGATGGTAGGTCGAGACGTAATACGCTCATGTTGCTGTTCAATATGGTTGGCTGATAAGACTATCTGGTTAGCAAGTAAAATGACAGTATTGTGATTGTTGAGCACGACCTGCATTGCAGATGCAATTCTACCATGCTGTCAGGCAAGCAGTGTAATAGCAAGTTTAGTAGTGTAGTATCGTGTGTCAAAATCTACATAGTAGAAATCTGTTCGCATTTTATCAACAACTCTGGTGATTGGAACCTGGTCTTAGACCTCCAACCTCGTAGTTGAAGAGCAACTGCCAGGTTTCCGGTTGGATTTGAGATGGGGCGAATCTGGAGTCACTCTATAACGCAACAAACTGCAGGAGAAAAACCATCAGCGGATGCATTCGGATGCAGACGTACAATTCCCTCAAGCTCGGACCTTTTGCCTCGTAATTGTCGACAGCTTCTGTCCGTTCTTCAGACAGACCGAAGCCCCACTATGGGCAAAGCATCATTTCATCTCATCACGGCGACTCCGTATGCTGTGCCAGTCGAGAAGTAAACGTAGTAACCTCCCAAGTTGCACACATCTGTACACATCCGGCTCTTCGGCTCGGCGTATCTCCGGCCCAGCTGACCCAAGTGGTCTGACGAGAATTCCAACATGTCCACTCTCTAACCGAGCATGTCCAAGATTCTGGGCGAATCAATATGCTGACGCCTTATCAAGCGCCCTAACATCCAGTCCTATGCGCTGCAGCTGTGGGCTCGAGACGATGCTAAGCCGTCAAGCATGGAACGAGCGTCCCGGATAGACAGCCAGGTCCAACGGGCTCATGGCACCATGCCCCATCGTTGCTAATGCAGAGTGGCCAGTTCGTTTATCACCGAGTGGCCCAGGATGACAGATGAGTTGCGAGATGGAGGGATTCATATATAAGCAAGACCTGCATTTTCCCAGTCGGGAATGACGATGACGTCTTGCAGGAAGAGAAGGATTTGCGGAGACGGTGTATCTGATGTGCTGGCTAATCAGCAGCTCCAACACACCGGTATGGTCCAATCCGATATCCAACGCGCGCGACTTTTTCTGACGCCATGCCTATTCGAGTCAAAGCGGCCGGCCCCCCAGGCGCATCTGGGCGCATGGAGAAATCTACCAGAAGATTCAGCGAAGAGGTCTGTGATCTGGAATCCACCCGTGGCTTCAGCCAGGCCCGCTGTTCGAGGACCTTGGCCCCAACAGTGGTCGTTCCTTCTGGACCGACTTCGATTGTCCCGTCGGCACGATTAGGGTAAATCCAATCCCCCGGCAAGAATCAGGTGGACCCACTGGCCGCCTTTTGATCGCGGTACCCAACGGTGAGGCCGGTTACCTTCCGCCGGCCGAGATGTAGAGGGAACTAGTATAGTAGTATCTCGATTCTAGCTAGCCCTGGTCCATTCCAGCTGACGCTCGAGGATTACTCACACGCGCAATGTTGGTGGAAAAGCGCCGGGCGGAACGGTCGGGCTTTTAGTCCGGAGTATGGCTAGCTGTAGGATGCATGCACCTCGCACTGTGGGCTGAGCTTGATCATTGGGCAGCGAGGGCAACGTCACGGACGATTGGTGGGATGCCTATGTGTGATGCTGCTGGAAGGCGTGGGAGGCGTGGGCGTGGGTGTGGGTGTGTGTGGGAGAGGCTGCGGAAGAGGCTTTGTCGCAGCCGGGGTCCATCATCCACGGAAAGTACGCCATGGTGCCACCGTGCCCGATTCCATCGAGCTTCTTGTGAAAGAGCAAAATGACAAGCGGGTAGGTCAGTAACTCCTCCGTGACGTTAGAGCCAACGGCTTTCCCCTCTTCAGCGGGGTATTGGCTCTTGATGGATTGAGTGATTCAGGATGATCGTTAACGAACCATAGCTAGCTAGCTAGCTAGCTATGAGAGGATTGGGGTTTTGGCTGACATCATCGGGTCCAACATCTCATGATTGCGGAGCCGAAGGAGATATTCGGAGATGTGAGACACGGATGCCATGCAACAACAGAGACACAGCGTGGACGGAGAAGAAGGAGGGATTGAGACACTAGCTGTCTAGTAAGAGTCGTCGTGTAGGTGTACAGTAGCGTTAGCTCCCAAAGTAACAGTTGGGTGAAGGAACGAACCATCGAATCAGGCCTGAGGCAGCCTCGGGCGGCGGGAGAGTCACGGGCCCGCACCCCTTATGCCAGATCCGGCAAGGCGGGAAGAAAGCAGGCCAATGAGAAGACCGATAGGCCCCCAAGAATCTGAGTTACCCAAAACAGCAAAAGCAGGGTTCATGGAGGCCTAGCACTAAGCCGCGATAGGCAAAGGGCCAGGAGCCGAAGATGGGGATTTGACTTTTAGGTTTTTTGGCTGCAAGTGGATTTGGGGTGGATCCCGGCTTTGTCCCAAGACGGCATGACGAGAGATTCATTGCTGGCCTGTCGGGGTGGAAGCATCCATTTTTTTTCTTCTCTTGTCTTCTCCCCATCCATCTTTCACCTTTATCCCGGAACTGATGGATATCCGTTTCCCGGATGGAGATAGACCGCTTCTTATTCAGTTTCGGGGGAAGATCTGGGATAAACTACACTTAGTCTCACAAATAGTCGGTAGATTATTGTTAGGATAAACGGGGGGGCGCTGCTTCAGGGGGTGTGACTGCTTATGCCTGATTGGGTCAATTGGGGTGGTGGTCAGTGGGGCATGTCAAGGATGGGGGAAGAAAAGCACACCACTAAACCCGACTAAATTAATACTAGTTACTGGTATTAGATAGTAGTTGTCTATCTACTAGTAGTTGTGAACAGTTAACCCTCTTTTTTTCCTTTATTTTTTTTTGTTTTTTTTCTCTTTCTCGTGGAAGATCACAGACGGTATACCATGTAGAGTAGGATGAACACTGGACATGCACAGTACTTGCTTAATTGTACTTCTTTTTTTAAACCAACAATTGTACATCAAATCTTTCTAATCAATGATCATCCTCTCAAGATGGCAAGTCATCAGCGAGCAGGGTCATGACAGACAAGCGACAGAAAGAAAAGAGGCAACAATGATCCAGGGTTCAGTACACCGCGACCCAAGACAACCATTTGCCCATTCGACCGCATGATGCATCAATCTGTCTCTGTCTCTGTCTCTTTGCCTTCTGCTGCTACGGCGGTTGGGGCGCCGAGCCCCTCGTAGCGCTGCATTAAAACACAACAAATCCTTTTTTTGCCCGCATTTACTGGTTTCGTCTGTCTTTGGGAGGCCAGAGCCCTCCAAATCCATCCAAACCCATGCCCATACCATCGGGGATTCGCACTCTTACTGCCTCCGTGCAAAAGACGACGGAGTGGGGCAGCGATCTATCGGCTAGCTTGGGACGACTTTGGAATTATTGTTGGAAAACTGCTTGGTGGTGGAGGGAAAAAGTGGGTTGTGGAATTGAAGGTGGTCGATGAGCGGGTTTTGGAACCTTCTGCCGGAAAAGAGGCCAACAGTGACCTCTTTCCTTCTTCTCTCTCTCTCCTCAAAAAGCATGGGGAGTCGAGTCGAGTCGTTTGAATATTAAATCTCATGGATCTCCAGCAATCCACTCCGGCCAAGAAGGTGCTGTTGAAAGTTGAGCTGTAACAGTCGGAGGGGATCT